CTTTTCTTCCCAAGGGCCGCCCGAAATCATTTCTCACTTGTTGAGAACCCTGAAGGCAGATGTTACACTATGTCCTAATCCAGCACCACAGAGCAGGAAAAGAGCTCGCCTGATGAGTCTGCGAATAGTGCAATATGGCTAGTGGACTCTCAATCACAGTGCAATTTTTAGGGATCGCCCGATCAAATTAATGTTTGTAGGTCACCAAGTGCTGTTCAATATGAAGGTAGATTTTCAGGCGAAAATCCGCTTTGACGAGGCACTTTTCAAATTAGGTAACGTTAAGCTTCTAGCAATCAGAGTTGTCAACAGTGTGATATTTGTTTTGGGCCATATCTCTGACAATGACAGACACATAACAAACATAGCGTGTTGCTAACAATAGTAACATAGCACGAAGCAATGCAGTCCATCCTATAACCTTGACTATCCTCAGCTTGACTATCGCTTCACAAAGACAGGAGACCCTAGTTTGTAACAACTTTGTCTTGTTCTTCTTAACTGTTTTTTTTTTTCAAGAAATTTTCTATTTAGCTCTGAGGAAAAGTAGTGGCTACTACTTAAAATGTCTGACAGTTCCCAAAATCTACCCAGTTGCTTGAGTAACTGTTTTCTTGAGTTTCTACTTGGCATGGCCCCATGGCTATAGTAAGCAAAGCCGCTCACCTACTAATAAAAGCCTCTTAGTTACTGTGATAATGATTCTGTTACTACACAAGTGGTAGGATTGCTCCAGGAGGCAATGCCTATGGGAAGGTGGAGAGATTATGAGTTATGATATTTGTGCCCAGGACTGTCCCAGGACAGGTGTGAAAAATGATTCAGGGAGAGCGAAGCGGAACTGGCAGTATTAAATACCATCCTCAGTGGGAGAAGTGCTCAGTGCCTGCAGTTGTTAGTTCTGACTAATGACTTGTTTAATCTCCAGTGAGGAGGGTGAGGTGAGACATACATGTGAAGTAGGCTGGGGAGATACTTGATGACAGGAAGTGAGGATACATGAAGTAGTGAGTGGAGTGTTGTCTGTTGGCAGCTGACATCTCCTTGCAAGACAAGTGATGAGAGAAAAGGAAACAGGAAATTCCTATTGAATTCTTCAGATAGGAGGTATCAAACGGTGGATTTAGTCTTGGTCTTGAAGAACTCATCTCTCTCACACTGCAGTAATCTTGGGGGGATTTTATCTTCAAGTAGACAGAAAGCATCAGGGTTAGAATTTGTTCCCCAGCCAGATTTAACAGATGGCTTTCTTCAACTCTTCTCTAAGGAGTATAGAGTAAGGCATGTGCAGGAAATAGGAGTGTTTTCTGTATTTCCTGAGAACAGGGGCAGAGTCACCTGTTTGTTGCTTCTGACAGACTTTGATCAAACAATTCCAGGGGGAAGACAACAGCTAGCACAGACATACATGTAAATCACAGCTGGGTCCTGGAGGCTCTGATGCAGTATTTCGTCCCTCAACTGCAAAAAAGTTGCTTTAGCAGCATTTAAAACTGCAAGCAGGACAAAGAGAAGAAGAAAGACCATTTTCAACACCTTAAACTTACTTTAAGTCAAAAATTTGTGACCGAATAAATCAATGACTTTCCTGCTGAATAATCCCTTATCACTAACAAAGCAATTTAAGTATCTGTGTTTATGCAGACTTAAGTTTTGTTTTAAGTTTCAGTGTTTTTTTTGGTATAAAGAAAAATCATAATGCTGTCAGCATATTGAAACCTCTAAGCCTCTAATCTCTGCTAACACACAGCCTTACATGGTATTTGTTTCCAATACAGACATGTATTCTGACCAGCAGTGCTAGATGTTAGCAAAGGTCTCTTTGTAACCTTTGTAGGCTTGTGTACTACATTTAGAATTAAAAGCTAGCAGTGCATTAAGCTGATTGATGATGACCTGCGCGGATGAGCAAAAGTTTATCATCAAGCGTTAATCCCTCCATCCCACCACGACCCTTCCATGATTAGAGAAATGTCAGTGTTCCCCCTCCCGAGCGGGTGGTATGCCTGGCGTGCGGCGCTCCGCACGGATCCGTTACCGAGTCATTACACAACAGAGACAGGTGGTGCAGGTTAATCTCCAAGCAGATCTTTCGGTGGCAAGACAGTATCCATTGGCCAGAGGAGTGTCCATTAGCCACCGAAGATCTGCCGGTACTCGAACAGGGAGGAGCACTTCTTTTCAAAAATGGTGTTGCTGCCCCACCTTGTGCCCCTATTAACAGCTATCAAAAATTTGTTGTGCTAAGATTTTTACAAGCGGTTTATAGCTTGAATCTGGGACAAATGCAGTCACCCGCGCACATCTCAGTGGGAGTTCTCGCCTAACCCTGTCCAGATAATACTGTATGCTGGTACTAAAATATGCTGGCTGAAACATAGAAATGTCAATAACTGGGGTCCTTGTGGTTCAAAACTGCAGATATCACAAAACATGTGTTGAACCTTCTTTTCCTATAGTTAAACTGTCCAAAATAACAGTTGGTGAGGGGACCCATAGAGAGACTTCCTGTAATGCTCAACCAGCTGGCTCACTAGGACTCGGTAGGAGGGCAAGAGCCTTGCCTGGTGGTCAGGGCAATAAACTACTTGGCAAGAATATTTTGATCAGGCAACAACTAGGTGTTAATAGCCTTTGACGTTTCGACTGCAGGCAGATCTTCGGTGGCTAATGGACACTCCTCTGGCCAATGGATACTGTCTTGCCACCGAAAGATCTGCTTGGAGATTAGTGCAGGTCACTACACTGGGGAGGGTAATCTTCAAGTTGTCTAAGCAGATCCTAGGTTGGCAAGGCTGTAACCATTGGCCAAAGGAGCACTGAATGGCTAACGGCCACTTGCTTTGCCAATGGTTACACTGTTATAGCATTGCTAATCTGCAAAAAGACTGTATATGGTGGCAAGGCAGTGTCTATTGGCCAGGGAAGTATCCATTAGCCATCATACCTTCGGTGGCCGTACAAACTCCTCTGGCTAATGGATACTGTCTTGCCACTGCAAGGGATCTGCTTGGAGATTACAGCATTGCCACAGTAGGATCTGTTTGGAGATTAGGACGTGGTCTGAGCAGTGAAGAAACAATGTGTTTGCCATATAAGGACCACAAGGCTAATGTGACCACGTTCCCTTATTAATGAATAATTTTTCCCATTGATGTAAGATTAAAAATCGTGTCTATAGTAACCATCTGTCCACATAGACCTGATTTTATCGGTCCCCTGAGTGGTATTCTTGGGCAGTTTTGACTTAATGTATCATATGACGTAATCATGTAAATATGCTAAGAATAGGTCAGCAGAATTCAACCTTTGCAAAAAATCTTGTAACGGTTGGTGAATTAACAAAAAAATTAGTGATGTAATATTATTAGTGTGATAGACTCCAAGATTTTGCCATTGAAATCTGTTATTTATAATCTCCTGCACTTTTTAAGGTCCGCACTATTTTTACTATCTACATAAAATATTTCATACCACTTTTATTTCGTATCCAATCATCCAAAAATGGTCCCTGGTCTTTATGATCAAGTTGTGGGCTGTTCCCCAATGTCAGAATAACTTGCAGCAAAAATGTGGAAGGAGCACAAAATCATATTCCACAGCAGACCTGTGAAATTGTCATTGGAGATACTTGTGTATCTGAAAGCTGATTAGTGAAGGCAGGCAGCAGACTTATGGTGCTTCATTTACATGAGAATAGATCATCATGGATGCAGGATTAAATCCTCCCCTGGTGGTGCTAAAAGTAGAAATATTTCATCCAATTCCATGCCGAGGTCAGGCAGTTCATGAGGTATTTTCTGGTCATAAAAGAGTAATAAGTCAGGTAACCGAAAAACTGGGATGAGCTGGTTGACAATATCAAAATATCATTTTATAGATTATTGAAAGATGGAAGGAGAGGAACTGATTTAGAAAAAACTGTGTAAAAGAGTGAAGTAAACTGTAAAGCTTGAGGTCAGATTGACATGGCACATGTAAGTGCTGTATATCGTTGACAGTCCAAGTTTTTAATTGAACTTATTGAAAGAAAACACAAGGCTTGCACATTAGACAAGTCAGGCACAGCATTTTCATTTTGTACAATCTAGAAAGGGCAGGAAATATAATAAGTAGTTTAGAAGTCCTATGAAATGTGGGATGAAACTACTGATTACCATGATGGCAGTTGACTGAGAGGGACCCAGTAGTTCGGGCTGACAGCCTGATAAACGGGATGTGATCCACCAGGTGGATGGGGAACACCTGTCACGAGAAAAAGGTGGATTCTTAGCGACAGGCATTTTCCCATTTCCCTAGAAGCTCCCTTGGTTTCCATAGGAATAATGCCATTCTGTCTGAGTTATTGGTGTTTTATTAATTTAGCAAGAAGCCCGTAACCGCGGCATCTAATCTCCCGCCTGCATTTAGAGTGGGTAGTGAAATAACGCGTGGCGGCGTGGCCCTCGTAAATCATAAGTTTGTCATTAGCGAGTATCAGGAGGGTTTAAAGCAGGGCGGGAGCCCAGGGACCCGGCTGTGATGAATCAAACTTCCATCCGCGATGAAAGCCGACAGGTCTGCAAATCGTATTCATTGGTGGATTTGTTAAGAGGGCAGCTAGTATTTGCCAGCTGCTTTTTCTGCGGTAGGAGTTAAACTTGACTTATTACGTATGCAAAATAAGTTAGGAAGGGGCTTCTAGCCTCCATTAGTTAAGCTGATTTCCGTAATTGCAGCCCGGGATTGTGTCCAATTCCACCGCAAATCTAATTATCGGAGCCGCTCATGCAGATGGGCTGGTCCAATTTGCATTCATTTGTTTCAATCTAGGAGAGGGGTGGTGGGAGTGCAGCCGGTGGTCGATCCATTAGGCGCCCAGACTTGTTTTGCTGCAGTATCATCCCACTTTCCCTGCAGTGTGTGATACATAAACACTTCAGCAGCAGCTCTACACCATTGACATACCACAGATCCAATCACACTAATGGTTTTTTTGTTGTTGCGTGCCGTTCCTGCAGCACACGGAGAAGACCGTCATCCGGCCGACGGCGTTCAAGCCGGTCGTCCCGCGCAACAGACATTCCCTGCAGTACTTCCCCCCGCGGCCGGGCAACCACCTGTCGGACAGCCGCAACTCTCTGCAGATCCCGCTGTTCTACAACCCCAAGGACAGGTGCGGCGGCGGGCTGCAGCAGAACGGCTTCCACAGTGTGCAGAACCTCAGCCTGCCCGAGCGCCTGCCGGAGAACCTGCAGCAGCCGGGCAGCAGGAATTCCTTTTCCGGAGGATCGTCGTGTAATAATAATGGCCCACATAATCATAACGGAGGGAATCATTACAGCAACACCGGCAGCCTGAGTAACACCAGCAGTCACAGTCACAGCAACACTGGCAGTCTCAACAACGGGAGGGTGTACAGCAACGGTGGGAACTACAGCAACGGGAACATCCCTGGCCTGATTCCGAATGGATTACCGAATGGAAACCACCACGGTGGTGGGAACCACTATGTGGACTCCCGGCACATGAGGGAAGGCTTGCCGCCCAGGCACAAGGCCCCCTCCATGGACAGGCTGTCTAGCCCTGCCTCGCGATCGAGTGTCACGCCCACCTCCAACAACAATCACACCCCAATCCTGTCGTACCACGCGTCCATGACAAACCTGTCCACTCGCTCGGGTCACACGCCGGTCCAGAGCCACACCCCGAGGTCGAGCCTGACGCCGCAGTCCGGTCACACGCCCGTCCCGAGCCACACGCCGCGCGCGAACCACACCCCGTCGTCCACATACGGGACGGGGCTGAACCATACCATGTCAAATGGTCACAAGGAGTCGTCCTCATCTGAACATTCGCAGTGGTCGACGATTTCGGAAGACTCCACCAAGGAACTGGAAGAGAAGGTGAAGGAGAAGGAGAGTGAGTTGGTTCAGTTGAGGAAAACCATGGAGGAGAACGAGATGATCATTTACAACGTGTACGAGGAGAAGCAGCGGAAATGGGAGAAGGAGATCTCCGACACGAAAAGGGACTGCGAGAAGAAGATAAAAGCGGCACAGCAGCGCGCCAGCCGGACGGAGCAGGTACTGCAGCTGCAGATCTACCAACTCCAGCAGGAGAAGAAGAAAATCAGCCAGGAGATGTCGCAGTTGCTGCAGGACAATGACAAGCTGGACAGACAGCTGGACACTTACCGCAGCCAGACGACAGAAACCACTCAGAAACTAGACGAAACAAAGTGGGAAATGTGCCAGAAGTCGGGAGAAATCTCTCTCCTTAAACAGCAACTTAAGGAAGCCAAGTCGGAACTAAGCTTAAAGACTAATGACGTAATCGCTTCGCGAGGAACAATAAAAGACATTAAAACCGAGCTGTCGGAAAAGGACAGTCAAGTGACCGCCTTACAAGACAAAGTGTCTGAGAAAAACGCCGAGATCCTGCACTATCAGGACGAGGTTGCTAAGCGACAATGTGAGATTGACAGCTTGTCGGACACGCTAAGAAAACGAGAGGATGAACTGATGGACTTGAAAGACTCTTATCGCCAGGTGAAAGACGACCTGTCCAACGTTCGGGCCGAGCTGGACAACAAAATCAAGGAGGAGCAGCTCATCAGCCAGTGCGACGAGGTCAAGGAGCGGAGAAAGAACAAAGAGCGGGATCTGATCGAGAGTTTAAAGGTGGAGGTTCAGAGACTCCGGAACGAGCTGAAAACGGTCCACCAGAGACACGACGCGCAGCTGATGGAGTTCGAGCGGGAGCGCGCGATCTGGCAGGAGGAGAAGGAGAAGGTGATCCACTACCAGAAGCAGCTGCAGCTGAACTACGTGCAGATGTTCCGCAAAACCAAGAACCTGGAGAAGGAGGTGCAGCAGCTGACTCTGGAGCTGGAGCGCCGAGACCTGGAGTCGGACAGTGTATAAGGGCGATATGTTACATAATGTGTAACATCAAGGCAGTGTGTAACATCAGGATCCATATGTAACATTATGGCTACTGTGCGTAACATTAGGGCTGTTGTGTAACATCAGGGTAACCACTCACTGCTGTATAACATCAGGGTAAGCTCCACTGTGTAACAAACAGTACCTTTACTGTGTAACAATACTACTGTATCACTGAGTAACATTCTGTCCCTCATCCTTTACCATATGGGAATTTTCTTTACTGCTTTGGATTCGATTACTTTTTTAATCAATATTTACCATCATTTTGTACACTTTTCTCGAGAAAGAAAATTGTAATTTTTTATTGGTATTTTTATGACTTTGTAGTCTTGTAAATTGTGATTTAAAAGGGTTTGCTATTTTATGAAATTGTAGTTCTCAATTTTTTTAAAAATCATGGTTCAGGATGAGGGACCAGGTTCTCCTGTCATTCAAACAGCAGCTGTCAATCACATACAGTTGCCCTGTCAATCAACGTTGACATGCCGCTGGCCTGTCAGTCAGCACAAGCTGTCAGTCATGTATGGCTGCCCTGTCACTCAACCAACTAACATCAACAGCACAGGGCTGCCCTGTCCATCAGAATCATCTGTTACACTGCTCTAAAACTGCAACCATGATTGTCTTGCCCTTCTGTAGTTGTTGTTTACATTTTCTCAAACAAAACATTTTTGCCAAATCAGGGAACTTCTCATGTTGACGACTTAGATAGCTTTCTGTACAGTCGAGGATTTTCTGTAAATACCGGTAACGCTGGATTTTAAGGCTACACTTTAGTTCTGATCCTTGTTGAGAGTTTAAGTAATTGTTACTTCAGTGTTGCAATTTGAGAAGTAGAGCATTGAGGTTGTGAGAATTACCTGTTTTTTCTAACCAGCAGCAAAAACAGCTTTACACTTTTATAACAAGGTCTTACTATCACACAAAACTTGTTCCTGACAGTTCAATTTTTTTCATGGAATTTTCATGCATAGTCTGTGTTGAGGAAAATTTATATTCTGTGACTACAGGCCAAGCCACACAGTGCTGTGGATATGATATGCTATACACCCACAAAAACCTCTTTCTTTTCTACTCCAGCAGTAATTTAATGAGAAAGAAATGTTTTGATGTTTTCTCAAGTTAGATGTTTCTTGGAGAATTAGTGACATTTTACTCCTCTTTGCCAAATTTGTTGAGGTGTTTTGAGCGGAATCGTGAAGAATGTGCTCCTACTCTAACCATTTACTGTAATGGTTATTGTGCATTCCCCCAGCACACTACTCTACAGGAGAGATTGACATGTATTAATGACTCTGGGATGATTTCCATCTAGAGGTCGAAGAGAACAAAAGCAGGAGCACATTTAATCAGGCAGATATTGAGCCCACTCTAAAACACCTCTCCATTTTAGCTGAGGCCGGAGCAAGTCAATTCTGGTGACACAAGTGTAATGCAGTCCAGTAGAAGTTCAGGAGAAAACACAGTTTGAATTATACTTTATAGGAACATGTTGATGAAAAAGATATTGTTATGAAAGCTCCAAAACACTCTAAAACACCTCTCCATTTTAGCTGAGGCCGGAGCAAGTCAATTCTCGTGACACAAGTGTAATGCAGTCCAGTAGAAGTCCAGGAGAAAACACAGTTTGAATTATACTTCATAGGAACATGTTGATGAAAAAGATATTGTTATGAAAGCTCCAATCCTGCAAGGTTACACAGAAGTACCTTTAAATTAATGAGTATTACTATTAGGTTTGAGCTCAGTTATAATGGATGAGACTAGAAAGAGCAGAATTTATGAAGTAACATAGAACTATTTTGCTTAAACTATATATATATATATTATGGCATATTTACAGTATATTAAGATTCCTCGCTCTCTTGTGTGACTTCTCTTCAGACTAAAGTTAGTTGTTGTTTTTGTTCTCTGCAGTTGTTAAATTTGTTGCGGAAACTGTAGACAAACGTTGGTACCTCGCCACTGTACAGTGCAATATGGTAGTCAGCGGTGACGGTCCCTTTTCTTCGACTATGTGTGGCTCCAGTGTACATTGAATTCAGCATTTGTTCTACACACTAGTACATTAATACCCTGAATATAGTTCTGACATTGCTTCTGTTTGGTTCAGTTTGCTGTGTCAGCCTCTTTGATGAGAATTTGGTTTTGTTAAAACTACTTTAGTTCATATATACTGATCGAGGATGCAGTAAAAAAGAAGGGTTAACACAAGATGATTGCTTACTATAGATGTTTGAGCAAGTGGGTGTGGAGTTTGTAACCAACAAGTCCACAGCCCCCCCTTGTGATTGTAATCAGTAGTGCAACAGTTAAGATGCAATGGAGCCATGTGTACAATGTAGGACCCTGACTCAGAAGGACTGTACAAAGGTGGAATTCTTTATATTTATTGTACAAACACATGGTTGACATAAAAACTGAGTTTTGCAGGGCAAGACATGATAAACTCACTGCAGTGCCGCCCTATGCAGAAAGGGGGCATGACTGTTCTTTGTACAATATAGCAATAAACAATTTGGAAGTTGTTACTCATGGTGGTTTTACTTCTGTGTCCAGTCAAGTGGTAGATACAGATTGCTTAGACCACATATCACACTACTTCAGCACCTTCCTATTAATCACATATAGTAACTGTTCGTAGCAGACCTTTCAGTTGTCCGACTGTAGATACTTTTTTCAGGTAAAAGTCTGTGAAACAAGCACCAACAAACTTTGCACCAGTATTCACAGCTTTGTAAGTCTTTACTACAGTCTCGTTCATAAGTGGATTTCAAAACCTTAACCTTGGCAAGTAGGCCTTGATGAAGTACAAAATGTACAGACCTTAAGGTTAGACCAGGAATGAATTAATAGATGGATGAATGAATGCAGGGATGGTTGGACGGAGTAACGAATGATAATCATAGTTTTTGAAAAAGTTAAGACACGAAAAGACTGCCAGTTGGTGCCCTATTGTTGGTGCAAGTTGTAAGATGTAGTGTCTATTCTTAAATCACTTAGAAGTTTGAATTAACACTGGTAGTCTTTGTTACAGACAAGTAAAATACTAAAAAGTCTTTAAACGTTTTCTTTATCTATATATCTTCCTAATATCAGATACGATCTGGGAACATAGTAGAAAAATAGATCCAATCTACAGGATTACCAACAACCCATCATTTGTCCAAAGAAGGGAAATGTTTTACACCTTTCTTACTATTTGAAGAATTTGCTATAGTAAAGGTAAACATTTACAGTTATTATAAACTATACCTATAACTATACTGGCCCTGGTAAATTAAACTGATATTGATAGAAGCACACAAACATTTTTCTTAAAGAATCACTGGACGGATACAAGTGCAACAGTATACCTACTCTAAAAATTATACTTCCAGTATAAACATTAAGTACATAACATACTGGCAGGAAATTAGGCAACTCATCGACAATGACCTTAACAACAAACAAAAATATATATATAGTTTTTTTTCCTTAATTTCATTGATCATGCATCCGTGTAAATTATTTCACAACATGAAGATACATTTCTCTTATTGACAGTTTTCAATAGATGCCTTAGACGGTCCAGATATTATAACAGTTGGCTCAAGAATGGCATGGAGTTTAAAATTTGTTACAGTATGTTCAATTCGATAAGGAGGTTCTCCTTTTGAACCTCCCTCCTTGATTGTGTTTGTTCAAATTCTTTCCATACACCAGTCAACTGATTTTATTTTACAAGCCTGTTTTGTGAAGGAAATCGACTTGAGGTCTGTCAGACAGTGTCACGTGTTGTTATCGCGGACCACGAGGACCATTCTGGTGCGGGATTTGGTGGCGTACGCTCGCCGGATGGTGTCCACGGCCTGGGCGTGAGTCACAGACTGCAGGGGCTCGCCATCCACAGACACAATCTCCATCCCAGGCTGCAGACAACCAAAAAAGGTTAGAAATGTAAGACATTGACTTACCGATAAAAATCTGTATAGCCAGTATAACCACCCTTCAGCTTAATAATCTTCAAGCAGATCTTTTAGTGGCTGCAAAGACAGTATCAAATTGGCCAGGCACTATCTATTTGCCAGACAGTTACAAAGTGTACTATTGGCCACCAGACTGAGATTGCAGCTTAATACACCAGCTTCACAGGCACGCAACGTGGCGGGAGCTGGCTAAATTACACAGAACAAAATGTGACATCTAACCAATGCACATCTAACTGTAAACATGTCTATATAGCTATCTATATGCTATATTTCAGATTCTATGAATAATGAAATCTATTTGTCTGTGTCTATTGTGTAAAGGCTTTTCCATGTTACTGTCATTGCAACACTGATACTGTAAGGAATGACCTCTGACCTTGAGTCGCCCATCCTCCTCGGCGGCTCCTGCAGGGAAGACTCTCTCTATTTTCACCTGAGGCTGTGACCTGGAGTCCCGCCCACCGGAGATGCTGATACCTGCAGGGCAACACAAGGTGACTGTCAACACTGACCTCTGGTGACAAAGGATGGAAGTGCGTGATTATATCAGGACCATCATTCAGTGACCTTTTATTGGTCAACAGTTGTAGTTGACCCAGAGACCAGTGCATCGAAGACTACCGAGTAGTACAACTCCTTGGAAGCTGTTGAGTGATGCCATTCTTACATGTGGTGAGTAACAATATATCTCTTTGTGCATGTGTGTTGATAGCTCCCTGCTATGATGTTCTTTCTGCCACTGGTCCTCCATTATCTCTGGCCACTGGTCCTCCATTCAGTGGCCAGAGATTGCAAATGAAGGAACTGTAGTTGCAACTCTCAACAAAAGAGCTTTAATACAACATTAATTTATGGCAGACGCAGAGCCATGATGGAAAAGAGCACCATGGAGACCATTCCTTACCTAGTGATGTCCTTGTTTTAATGAGCTCAATGGTTATCTCCTCCTCAGGAGCCGGGGCCTCGGGAGCGGCTTCCTCTGGGGGAGGGGGCGGGAACTCAATCTCCTCATACTCATCCCCAGGGGACTGCAGAGGGGGAGGGGGGAGGGAGAAGGAAGGAGGGGCACGCAGAGGCTGCATGGCGGGGGAGGGGGTCAGGGGGTGGCCGTCTGGGGGTGGTCCAGGGGGTTGAAATGGGGCGGGGGGTATCGTCGGGGCGTGGAAGGAAGGAGGAGGGGGGATGTCATCTGTGTCGTCCACTCTGATTGGTGTGAACGTGTTGTGTGGCTGGTCCTCATTGGCCGAGGCGTCCCCATCCTCCTGCTCCTCCAGGTCGTGGTTGGGTGTACTGGCACGGATGGACTCCTCGTCCCAGTTCAGTGCCTTCTGTGTCTCCTTCTTCGTCTTGGAGGAGCTGTCAGTTTTCCTGCATGGTGGGATGAAAATGGACCCACTGAGAACCATCACGACAATATTTATCCTTGCGTAATTACCTTGGCATTAGCCTGGGTGCCATCTGTTGTTTGTAGTTACTGCCGGCTCTCTGTTGTCGCTGGGTACCACAGATTCCAGCCATTATGGATATCAGCAAGTCCATACCCCGACAATAGGGAGCTAGCGGTACAATGTAGGTACGGAGGATGGCACCCAGGCTACATTGCCACACAAAGCTTCCCGAGTGCAAAAACTGGTGAAGTTAGTTGACTCTATTTTTCCCCACCAGAGAGCCAACCTATATCATTATTATCGCTTTCTACACCTTAAAACACCTTTGGCCACCCGAAGCACCTTAAACACCCAGAAGCATGACTAAACTCACCTGTCCGTCTTTTCCCAGAAACTAGCCGCACAGAAATGACAAACGTGCATTAGTACACCACTACAGACAGGGTGGACTAGACAGTGTGATTCTTGTAAACAGAAACTGTGATACTGTGCATACAGCAGTGCATCTCTAGAGTGAGGCTGGTGCAGTTAAACAAATCATCTGGTGTCTGAAGCCAGGTGATAGATTTGATGTACTGTTACTACAGTAACTGAATGGTGAATACAGTCAATGCTGTCGTGTAATGTAGTGTAGTATTTACAATGGCCACCTGTAGTGTGTTCTTGGTAGGTGCAACAGTAATGCAGGGTTAGAAACAATTTCCTACCTGTGAATATCATCATGACACAACACAACAAAACTCTTCTAGCATGATATAAGAATACGAAGAGTTTTTTTTTTTTAAATCTTGAATTCAACAATAACAGGAGGAAATAGGGAAGTCTTATTCCAAATCTTGTCAATGTATGATACTTACAAGATCCCTTTCCTGACGACGGATGGCGACACCTTACTGTTCCCCATCGGTGGGGAGACTCTGAGTGGAGATATCGTCACGGTTACCGCTGGCTGGCTGTTCTCTTCAGTGGAAGCCTCCCTGCTGTCAACGACAGGCTCATCCATGCCGTTTTCTTTTTCTTCTGCTTTGTCAGTCGGCCCATTGGTCTGTTTTGTAGACTTGGGTTTGTTGACTGTTGCATAGATTGGTATCACTCTCTCTGTCGTGTCTGACTTAGTGTCTGCCACTTGTACAGGAGACGGTGTACTCCTCGCAGGGCTCCCATTGGCTGTTGGGGATTGATTGACAGCTGCCGGCTTGACCCTCTGATTGGCTGGTATGGCTACGACTGGGCTCCAATTGGCTGAGGTATCTGGGGACTCGTCGGGGACGATCTCGATGCTACCGCGCCCGGTGTTTCCCGACCCCATGTAGACGAGGCGGTACAGTTCGCTGTCTACAGGTTTCACGTCGCGTGCCTGGAACTGGACATCCGAGTCCTTCGGTCCAGCGGACGGGGGATGGACCGGGGAGGGGGAGTCCGCCAGCCGGGTGACCCTGAACCCGGCAGGTTTGCTACTGGCCACGCTGGAAGTCACACTACCCTTCTCTATAACAGGCATGGGTGGGGACGCTCCCCCCAGGGGTGGGGACAAGCTCCCCAGGGGTGGTGGCAGGCTCATCAGGGGTGGAGACAGGTCTGCAGAGGTCTGTCTGTTTGGGGAGAGGTCGTCGTCGTCTGGTGGCGGGGGAGGGGCGTGTGACGGGATAGGCGGCTTCCCTTTCTTGGAGGACCTGCGGTCCTTCTTCCTCTGCTCCCGCTCCAGCTTGCGCAGTCGCTCCCTCTCGTACTCCTCTACTGTGCGGAGGTGGTACTTCCCGTGGTGGTCTGGGGAAATCAGGGAAGTAAGTAATCATTTTAGTGACACTGAACAAGCATAGTGGAATTTGTCACTCTAACGTCCAGATCCAGAAATAATGTATCCCGTACCTGGGGAAGGGTGCAGCAGTTGTTTCCTGGGAGGAGTGAACCCGATGTGAGCCCGCTGTAACTTCTGGAAATGGGCTGCAGAGATGAAAGGTGGAGAAAATCAATTGTTATATTGTTCATCGTGTTCTGCTCATTGAACATATTAACTAGCAGAGTTTGGACATGAATTGTACAATAACACTGCAAATATAAATTTGGAGCTTGATTCTCTTGGGTTCCTACATTCTCAGCACAGTGACATTTAATGCAACAAAAGTTTCATCATATTTAAATAGTATGTTGTGAATTTAATAAGTTATGATTCATGATAAGATTGATCAGTACAACCAAATCACATGAAATCAGTGTGGTTAATTACAACCTGCTCATTTTCTCTCTGTTGTGTTTGGAGTCATCACAGAATCAGTAAGTTGATTTCCATTGTTGGTTGATTTTGACTTTGGAGTTTGATTTGTTTGTCATTTTCTGATATTTTGATTGGCTTGCCAACTCGCTCCCTTTAGTAAGAACCTACCGGATACACTGGACAGCACACCGGGTGGTTTTGAAGGTTCAATGTCATCTGGGAAGGTCAAGCAACAGGTGTTCAAGGTCAAGCGTGTGTAATTTTCCTGGCATCACCTGAAACCAGCTCAGGTGGTCTTTGTAAAACCTCTGAATGTTTCTTGTTCATACCACAGAATAGCCTCACTCATAATGACTAACATTTGTTAACATGTTTTCCTGTCTGTTGTTAACTTGTTTGTTGACTTGTTTAAGCTACTTACATGGCCTTGTACTGAGTTCCTCCAGAGCTTCAAACTCTCTCTGTGAGACCATGCTGTCAAACCTGCCCAGGTCCGTCGGAGTGATGATCCCCCTGGTGACAGGTAAATAAATAAACAAACAGGTAAACAAAATGGGTGTGACATCCTGCTATCAAACTGGTCAGTCCTTTATATATGTATGATAATGTGTAAGAATATTTTTGTTGTCATGCTGTGACAACACATGTACCACTTTATCAGACTGCTTAACCTGGTAACAGCAGAAATGACTGTATATATAATTATATACTAAACTACTGAATAGTTACTTAATATTCTCTTCATCCATTATGAGACATGAGGCCATGACTATGACAAAGGAGGCATGTTAACAGGTAGAAACACCTGTACAGGTGGCTGTTCAGATTCAGAACACCTTACATGTAGCAGTCCAGCTGTAATAAATCAAGGTTAAAACACCTGCACAGGTACACAGAACAGGAGGTGCGTTATATATATTTTTGTATACCTGATCTCCCTGAGGACCAGGATCTTCTCAGGTTTGTCCAGGATGGCGAGGACAGGTTGTCCCAACTCCTCTACTGTCCCTCCTTCTGTGTACTGTGGTAACACAGGGATGTCATACAGGGGTGGGGTGTTAGATGAGTGTAGATCTCATATTATAGGGCAATTTCTATTTAACAAATGCTGCTACATTACATTACGTTGACAACAGTTGGATAAAAAAAAAACTCCTTTGAGAGCATTGCCTAAGTGTACATGTAGGAGATACATGCATACAAAATTCTAGTGAAAGGTTGTTATTTTATTACCTTGAACCTTACACACTCATTGAGAGGGGAGTTTGAGACAGGAAGGTACTAGATTAATATCAAAAAGAAAGATTTAAGAGGACAGTACTATTCCAACATCAGCTGCAGTCATGTTCCCATGCTAGATCTGTCAGATTTCTTGTAAATTCATTAACTTTTGCAGTGGTTTTATTTTGTGGTAGTTAAAAGGAGGTTTGTAGAGTTAAAAGGAGGTTTTCACTGTGTGTTTGAGTTGCAGTTGAAACAATACTACAACATATTTAGTCATACAGGACGTACATTTGTATTTGCATATTCGATTTAGAGGTCACCACGAAAATAAAACCACCAGAAAGTTTTAAGATTTACAGTACATGATAAGGAGGATTCAGAGATGCAGAGAAGAAGTGACAGGGAGGTTACATGTAAGACACCGAGACTGACACCAAGCGTGACACCGTGCGAGGATAATTTAGCCATGATGGTGTATGAAGAGTGACCAGTACCAGTGGGTCCAGGGTGTCTAAAACAGACTGCGCCAACTCCTCAACTGGTCCCCCTGTCTCGTACTGTATGGACCACACACAGGGTTAGTAGCACACAAACCAGGGAGAGGGGGGGGGGGGTAACACATTAGGGGGGTAGATTAGGGGGTAATGTCTGTATGCAATTAGCCCTCGGGCATGAATTTGCAATAAACATCATCATTAATCTCCAAGCAGATCCCTTTCGGTGGCAAGGCAGTGTCCATTAGCCAGAGGAGTTTGTAAGTACAAACTCCTCTGGCTAAATGGACAGTCCTCTGGCCAATGGACACTGCCTTGCCACCAGATGATCTGCTTGGAGATTAGGGTAGATAGGGGAAGAGAACACGCGTATTGTGAAGAGGGGGTTACAATGTTATGTCACACAGATGGAAGGTCTGATTTTACACACACAAATAGTAGAAGGTTATGGTTATTTTTAGATATAGCATGGGAATGGTTATTCTAGTAAAACAAAAGTATACCCACTTTAATTACATGTTAGATATGTCTAAATTGTTTAAGGTTAAAACTTTTGTTCCAACACAAAAGAATTGTTCTCACCTAGAGTTTTCGACCAGTCACTCTGGTCTTCTTCAATAGGCTGACCCATGAGTGAGACTTGTCACATGGCTTGTCTGAAGTGTCATGTCAACCATAACAGTGGCAAACCTCGTTTACCAGGTACCTTTAACCCAGTGTTGACATCACACTTCAGAAAAGCCACGTGATAAGTCTCACTGGGTCAGTCTATTGAAGAAGATCAGAGTGACTGGTCGAAAGCTCTAGGTGAGAACAACTCTCTGTGTTGGAACATAAGTTTTAACTTTAAACATGTAACTACCAACACAAATGACGCTGAATTATTATTGTAATTGTTATAAGTACATGTAACTAAGTACATGTGAAACAACAGGTTTGGTGTCTAACATACCCTTCTGACATGTCTTAGGATGGCGTTGGCCTCGTCTTCGTTGAGAAGTTTCCTCGCCATTTCTTCTATCCGGGACACGGCAGACACAGACAGCATGTCCTGGTGCATGACCTGGCTTCCCGCGCCCTTCTCAAAAATCCCGCGCTGTCGGCCCAGGTTCATGCCCTGCGTGCTGCCCAGGGAATCCTGGGAGCCTACCACATCAGGAGGAGAGCACAATTGTTAGTGGGTTCTTCCACTACAAAGTAGTTGCTAGTGAACTTTTCGGCATCACAAGTCTTAAAGAAACTTATAATAGCAAAGATAGGTACATTGTAGCTTGATTTTATTACACTAACTGTATTGCCATTATCTTTGTGGCTGTGTCTCAAGTAAAACATGAATTGGAAGGTTCAAACAAACTCAATTCTTTTTCATCATCACCACCATACATCATCTTATAGTGGTAAGTGCAGCTTGACTGTGTTCAGAATGGTGGCACTTATGATGCAGAAAAATGTACAATTGTAAAGCATGTCCAATGGAAGCAAATTAATTGCTTTTGGGATATCAACCATTTGTTGAAAAGTAAAATACCCTGGTACAACCCAATAAAAGCTGGATGAAAATTAAGGACTTGAATGTTGCATGTTGCTATAGGTCGACAATGTACATGTATGCTTTCATCAACTGAATTGGTAAAAATGCACCTGAAGCACCTTAAACCCCACACCTTCAGCAACAATGCCCAAACCTACCTGCACTGCTAGTACTGCAGTCATCAGAATCACCAGAGGCTTGGAAATTAAAGACAGGAATAATCACCACAGGAAGGAGACATGCAAGAAAGGACAGATGTAGGGTTAGAGAGGACCGCCATACTTCTGAGCTGGCTTAAGTTCTTATGATACTGTAAATCCATTTACTTTGGGATGGTTTTATTTCATGGTATGAGGGAAAAGGAGGTTATCCCATGTATTTATAGCATATATAAGTCAGAATATGTGGTCATGTTAGAGAGTTGAATAGAGTCAGACCTTGATACCATACTATTTCCACATTTGGGTGCTGGTATCTTTATTGGGCATTGAGTTAATGTATTTTTAACATTTTCAGCAAAGTCGTTAACGTAAATTTGGATAGAAGGAAAGTTAAAAACCAGCAGTAAAAAAGAAATAGTGGAGTGAAATCACACGCCAAAAAACAGTTACTCAAGCAACTGGATATGATTTTGAAAACGTCAGACGTTTCAGCTAGTATCCACTAGCTTTCGTCAGTGACTGAGAGACCAGAGGGGAAAGCAGGTTTTTAAGTACAACCTGTTTATTGATATGCAAATAAAGTGAAGACAAATTTTTGGAAGTCGAAAAAGGAACAAAAGTTAGACAAGTCAAGACAAAATGATGCAAATTAGTCTGACAGCTCCTGTTATACAGAACAGGAGCTTAAGTGTTGTCTGTCCTCGGGGCTGGGAGTGCCAAATCCCAAGTGCCGGAAAGATCGACTCGTAGCCCCCCTGAGTGAAATCACAGTTCGTTTTTAATGAACAAAATTCCAATTTGTAGACTTCACCACGACCTTCCACTGACCTTCAGAATTGCTACTTTTCCTGCCTTTACTCTCGCTGTCGCTTGACCTTGAGGACCTGCCAGACGACCTTCCCTTCTCCAGCTCGTCCTCGCTGCCGCTCGACTTGTTCTTGGACAGCAGGCCTGAAGGTCGTGACCTGATCTTCTTGGCACTCCTCCCCAGAGAACCCATGAACTGCTTCATCTTCGAGTCACTCTTGCCCTTGGAGTCCTTTTTCCCCACGGAATCTTTCCCTTTGGAATCTCCTTTCCCTTTAGAGTCCCTTTTTCCTCTGGAATCACCCTTTCCTCTCGAGTCCCCTTTACCTCTGGAGTCCCCTTTACCTCTGGAGTCTCCTTTTCCTCTGGAATCTCCCTTCCCTTTGGAGTCTTTTTTCCTGCTCTTGTCCTTTTCCTTCCTGAAGAGGAAGTCTTTGAAGGTACGTGACCTCCCCACTGTGGCAGTCGCATCCTTGTCCTTTTTACTTTTCTCTGGTTTGTCTAGAAGGAAACAAATTTTGGGGGTTAAAGTGGATTGAATATGCAAAATTCTTACATATCACAGATTTTGTATATAATTTCACTGAACTGTATCACCTATGTGTTCCATTATATCATTGTTGAACAGTCAGTGTATATGTCAGTTTTAAGTGCAGTTAGACTGTGCTCAGCTAGGTGGCACTTATGATATCAAAAAGGTAATGGTAAAACATGATCACTTGAAGTATAATGCCTTTTTGGATACCAAACCTTTGCTGAAAAGTAACATACAAGCATTTAGTATAAAAAAAGCTTGTGCTATTTAGACCACACAAACAAAAAAAACAGTACTCTCCAAAAAAGAGGGTTAGGTTTTGGCGTGATTTTTGGCTTTTTTCTCAGGCTTTCTTTTTTGCACTGGTATTTTTTTAAATGCCAAAAATAAGCCAAAACCCAAGCAACACACAGTCCCTGCATACGGACCTGTTGGCAGCGTGAGGCTCTGTGTCCTCCGTACGGGGCGCGAGGGTTGGCTCAGTTCTACCAGCGCCTGCCGCGACTTCTCCCTCCCCGGCGATAATGAACGGTCCCTCCCGGGGGGCGACGTCGACCTTGACCTTTTCCACATGGGCGTCTCCGTCTGGACCTCGACCGAGCGAGAAGAGTTGGTTCCCACAGAAACGTCGTCCTGAACTGTCTGTGTGAAGGTCTCCACACGGGGAGACGTTTGCTGGTCGGACTCCTCGAAATGATAGGAAACGGGGCGCGTAGCCTTTAGAGGTCCTGGGGGTGAAATACTGGGTCCTGCGGGATAGAAAAAAAATGCTAACTTTTATTTCCTACCTTGACATAACTAGTGGTTCTTAAGCACACTTGAATTCTAATTGAATTTATGTTTCAATCAGTTGATAACGTTTAAGAAAAACTACAGAAAAGAAAAATGTTTATCACGCTTTTAGCTAACTTACCATTCTTGAAATTTTTGAAAATAACTGGCAGCATTAAAAGGAAGCAAACACAGAAGAGCATTTATAACAATGGGTCTTCCACACAAGCTATCATATATCAAAATGATTAGTGATATAGCCTGCCATAAAATTATAGCTTCATAGGCTACAGCTTCACTGATTTGATAAAAGTTGCATTGATTCATTATAACTTTTGTCATTGTGTGAACCCTATTGTTTTTGGCAAATGTATGCACAAGCCAGAAACTGAGACTATACAATATTCAGTCTTATCTGCATCATTACTCCAGATTTTAGATCCATTGTACTTATACAAGAGTCTTGTCCAGAATCTGGACCCCTGGTTAGTGCTGTCATTACTACAGGAGGAAAGTTGATCCTTTGTTGACACAAACTCAGCAGGACACTAAGTAACTGTCATGCTCCATTAATTCACCAGCTCTAGGGAAGCTCTATCTAGGGAAACTGTTTTTCCTAGTGAAACAACTTCTGCTTTGTGGCCTTACTCTAGACTGTCCAAAACTGTAATATAATTATAGCTTTCCAAAATAATAGTTTTTCCAACAAGTGCTTTTAATTATTTTATATTAAGTATAAATTTGACAGTTACTGCACCTAAATAGAATCTTTGGCTCTAGAAGTGTCAAGTGATTTTGTATGGTGGAGGTTAACAAAACATGCATTAGCAGGACTGACTTCATCAACCCTTTTTTAGTGTTCATAGCTCCAAGCAGAAGTGAGGAGGTACTGACTGTTTCTCTGTCCTTTCCTCATGACCTTCCTGCCTGCCTGGCCGGCCACCCAGCTGTACTCTGCTAACATCTCCTTGTAGGCTGGGTACTTCCCCACATCCTACACACACAGAACAGTGAACTCAGGTTTATCTTGAATGAATACTATAAAATTGTATAAGATTTCTGTATGAGGAGATATATCTGGGACCTGCATGTTAAGGCAAAATAAACAACAATAAGGAAAGATTTACCATCTCTCAGTGGCATAACTCTGTAACCATTACAAAGCTTCAGCGGGGTAATACATTGTACCACATGATTATACAAGATACAAATTACAGAATCCTGAAAGCACTTCATACAGGCCATTTTACCTTGAGTTCACAATTTTCATGCAAATTTGCTTTTAAGAAGTTTACCTTAATGGTCATGGTGACATGGTTCTGGTGGCGTAGAAACTCCACAGCTTCTGTGTGCGTGATGTTCTCAAAACTGGTCCCGTTCACGTCCAGGATCTGGTCTCCTTCCTTGATGCTGTTCTGTTCTGCCAGGCTGCCAACATCCACCCTGGGAACAAAAGCTTTGTTTACTCACACGCATCTTCACACCAAGAGCTTACTGGTTAGATTGCCCAATAATGTGATGAACAAGACAGTTGTCTTCCAGATCCGCAGACAATGCAGTACCTTAAACATGGACAGGGGGCGTCACTACCTCAAGCCTGTATATAACCATCTCAAAAGCTCCCCAGAGTATATAGGTAGCTAATTTTCTGTAGTGTGTATTGTTTGAAATATTTGCCAAAGACAGTTTTGCTACTCTGTAGTGTAGAAACTGATCCTATGTGCCCTGGACACCATACGATCACAATGATTCAAATTACCAACTTGATTGTAGAAATGTAGGTGAACACACAAATGTTGTCATACATAATAAGATCAGTTTTACTGACACCACAGTCTGTTAGAGCTACGCATGTTGGTGTCAATGTAAGAATTGGGCTGTAATGTGCAGAAAATATTGCTAAGTACAAGAAGATTGAAAGTACCCAACTGTTGGCTTGCTGAAGGTTAACGTAAAGCTAACTCAGGAAGTGGAACTATTTTTCCCAGCTTGCTAGAGACTTAAGCCAAATTGAAATATAATCATAAAAAAAAGTCTGTTGAGCCCACTCACCGTGACACATAGATGCCGACCCCGTACTCGCTGCCTCCGCGGATGTTGAACCCGATCATCCCCTGTTTGACCTTGAAGTTGACCTTGACCTCGTCGCCGTCGGCTAGCAGCCTCATGTTGCTCCGTGTTGTTGGGCGGGCCGTGTCCTCGCTGCCCTCGACGATCTTACGTTTTATCGTATCGTACCTGAGGAGAGAACAAATGTACAATAGTTATGCGTAGCTGTCCTTGGTGCTGAACACAACATCTGTTACTAATAATACTTTATACTTAAGCCTTATCCCATATCCTCACTTCCCTCAATGATCTTCCACTTAATCATATTGTACCTAACACAAGAACACAGGTACAAGAACAATAGTTGTGTGTACCTGTCCTTGGTGCTGAACACAACATCTGTTGTTAAATAAACCTGCACTTAATTTTTTTTTCCAAATTCTCTGCCTATTTCCGACACTTTCAATACTGATATGCACGGGAAAGGTTAATATAAGTGTGAACTTCATGTACTTGTATCATTGAGCCTTAGCTACTGAAGAGACCACATCAGCAAAACCAGTCTGAGTGATAGGCTGAATAAAGGTTCTAAACAGGAACCATGTCACTCCGGATGCCTCTTTGAGGTATGATTGCAGTGCAAAAGACGTCAGTTAACAGAGAAATGATTCCACTCAACTCTGAGTTACTGAGTACTGATCAGAAGAAGGCTCAACTCACCACGATGTTCTCTCGCGGGAGAACTTGAAGCCGGGGATCTTGCCGCACCGCCTGATGACCAGTTTGAGCCGGTTGCTGCCGGACAGGACCTTCACGGCGCTGCTGATGGCGATGTTCTCAAAACTCACGTTGTTGACCTCCAGAATCTGGTCACCCACTTCCAGGCCAACACGCTCTGGGGGTAAAGGTCGGAGGTCATGGAATGTTTGCAATCAGTGGCGGAATCAATTCAGAAAACAGAGAAAACTGAAGCTGTGCATTTGTTAAACTTTTGCGCATTAGCCATTTATGTAGGCCAGATGAAAAAAGAAACCAAAACCTAGCTACAGTGCACAGTGAGCCAGTAACATCTAGCTTCAGCGCACAGTGAACCAGTCATAATTGATGAAGATGACAGACGGTCATCGAAACGTCGGCTGGTGTAAAACAAGACTAATGGTCGTGAATAAAGAACTTTGCTATTCAAACATTTACCAATCTGATGAAATTATTATGTACATAGGAGCCAAAACGGCGTGCTGACATGACTTACCTGCCACCCCCCCTGAATCCATCTTGCTGATGTACACCCCCAGCCCGTGCTCAGACCCCCCTCGGATGCTGAACCCCAGCCCCTCATCCCCCTTGTTGACAGTAAACACATGAAAGCCCCCGCCACTGTCTGATGTGTTCAGTCCATTCGTGCCTGAAAAATTAAAATTGTCAAATGAAATTTGACAACTTCAAATGCCTTGTTCGGTTGTATCTTTACAATGAGCTACCTAAAAAAACAGAGCTTAGGTCACACCATAACATCTCTTGGGTCATTTTTGAAGGTCACAATTGGTTGATTTGTTTCTTGGTGATACAGAACTTTTTAATTTGAATTAGAGCAAACTACTAACGTTCAGGTGCCCATGCAAATCCTTATCATATGGCTGATTGGTGAATTTCATATCACAAGTTGAAGATGACCATTTTGTTCTTTACAGTATTCCCTAGCTGGATGACTTGGTATTAGAATTTAAAAGAAACAACATAACAAATATTCATGCATTACAAAAACATGCATGATACAGAGGAATTGGCATTGCATGAAATGTTCCTGTAATGATTCAGAAAAGTATTGCGATCAATTAAAACAACTGAATGCAGCAGAATCAACAGTAAAGATTTCATGGACCAAAACATGCAGACTCAAAATGAAGCAGGCAGGCACCTTGATGCTTTAACTCAGGCTTCTTGTCATCTGGAAAGATTTCACAACATGGAGATTTTAACATTAAGGTTGGTATGCATGGGCTTTTAGTGTGATACAGTGAACTATTGTATTGTACAGGAAACCAACACAGTGAGCATTTTGTTTCAAGGAAAGTTCGGAATTCAAACGGTTAATAAACTTCACAATGGTTAAGAAGAGTCACAAAAAGGAACATATTAAGTAATTTATTCTGGTACCTAAGTTAAGATGCTTGCCATTGGTTTCTGAAAAGAATAACAATCTTATTTCAACATTTTGATGCATAAAATAATCCTGATCAAGTTTTGTAACTAGGAGATAAAAAAAAGTTCTCCAAATTTCATTTTGTAAAACCAGGTCAAGCCCAGTCTTAGACAACCCAACCTTTTCATTCTGGCACGTACACCTTACATAAGAAGGAAGTCATTCATTAACATTTTGGACAGGTCAGGATTATCCATAGTATTACTAAGGCCTTGTTTGCTACTGGCTAATGTCAGGTAATACCATCAGCTGCACTGAATTATCAGTAATCTTGCTTTGCCTAGCAACTGTAACCATGATAGCGGTATGCATCTAATAACTCAGTAGTGACATAGGCTAAAGAACTAAAATCGCTTGATCTCCAAGCAGATATTTTGGTGGCTGCAGTTACAGAATTGAACTGGCAGTATCAAATTGGCCAGTAAACAATTGCAATATGCCACCAGAGTGGCTGGCATTAAAAGATTATGACCAGTACAAATAATCCTTATAAAAACACATAAAAAGACGTCAAAAATAAGCAGAATTTCTGCTTGGAGAGTAAATATTATGTGCATGGAAATTTACACTAACCACAAACGTTTGAACTTAGAAGAATCCACGGCAGGAATGAAGATGCTTGAGAACTGACCTGTATGGAGAGTCTACAGTATATCTGTATCTGTATAGCTCGTATAACGGCCCTTCAATGTGACACACCAGCTTAGAGTTGTTGTTCTAACCACACACATCTGAAGAATCCATGATGTTGTAAATGATGATCCTTGAGAACTGACCTGCGTGTCCATTGACCATGGCGTTGTTCGATACAGTTCCCGCCCGCTTGCCGTGCTGGCTGGCCGGCCTGACGGGGTGCGCCATCTTGTGGTACGGGGCCAGTCTGTCAAAGTGCGGTATGTGCTGAGGGGGGATGAGCCTGCGGATCTCCTTTAGCAGGTCCAGTTTCTGTGGCGTGTCCAGAACATGGCACAGCTGCGAGACCAGCCGGTCAATAGCCTGGAACCACAAAAATATGTGGAGTGCTCACCTTGCATACGGTAGGTTGTGAGTTCGATCCCCGGCCAAGTCATTAACCAAAGACTTTAGAAATGGTACATACTGCTTTCTCTGCTTAGCACTCAGCATTTGGGAAATACACACCACTACCAGTGGGCTAGCCCCCTGCTGTAGTGATTGCACAACTGTGTTGCCTAAGTGCTACTGAACCAGAGATACTGAACCATGCAGCACATACTGCGGGAAGGACTTGAACTTATCTAACTAACCTTGTACTGCTGGTACTCCTTGAGCACACTGTGCAGGTAGTCTCTGTCATCCTCCTTCAGCAGCTCCTGCGCCCGGCGGTAGAACGCCTTCAGGTGCTGCTGTCGCTGGATGTCTCTGGTTGCCATGGTGATGACGGAGAAGCTAAAGGTCATCAAACCAACATCTCAGCTTCCTCCTGGATCATGGAGAAAAGAAAAGAACCGTGATCAGTTGTGCTGATAAGTCATGATAGATGATGACAGGGATTACATGACGGAAATGCGTTCAATAGCTCTTCAAGGTTGAAAAAATAATAGAAGAACAAAAGAACAAATGATAATAATTTCATTGAATTGAATTGAGAGATATAAACTGATCAGGTAAATGTTTTGTTTGCTGGCTGTTTTGGTCAACAGTCCTTCAAAATTCTCACTCTGATTAAAGAAAAACAAATTGAAGGACAACCTTGACTCATACTTAAAGCACTACCTAGTAGGAATAAGCATGAAAAATAATTAAGAGCCATCTTCAAATGTTTTAACAGTGACTGTCTTATTCTGCCTAAGAAGAGGCTTTGTGGGAACATATAAGTACAGTCTACGAAGCAAATAAACACTGTAACATTGGAAGCAACAGAAGATTTAAAAAGTCCATCAATTCACTTACTACAACTAAATATTTTATGAGAGGAAAATATATAAGACTTGTTGAGAAAGCTACTATAATAACACTTCTGACATGCAGCATAACAGATGAACGGTAGCAAGGGTTAAAGTCAAAAATCAATAAGTTATCATGTGATCCATTCACACCTGTCCCACCTATTTACCATACACCTGTCGTAGCTGGTTAAGCAGGTGACAAAACACCTGAGCCACATCATGGTTTTCACCTCAATAAACAATACATCAAAGTCTATATCTTTCTGGTGCATTTCACAATTGCACAGACGTAAATACCTTTCGAATTCTCACAGTGTGATTATACTCAGGGATGTGTTTGTATAATTGGGTCAACTGACTTATTCATAGCAAAGTTCAGCCCAGAAAGGGACATGAATAATTGATAAGACAGGGAAGCATCTCTGCTAACCAGGTCAGTCGCACCTGAGGTCAGGCTTTTAGCAGTTTAACAACAATGTACCAACAATGTACCACGCAGCCCTGAACTAACATATCAACGTGTACCACAGTTCTGTACCAACATGTACCATAGACTGTACCAGTGTGTACTACAGCTGAGACTGCACTAACAGATACCACAGCTCTGGACTAACTAACATACCAACATGTACTGCAGTCCATACCAACATGTAATACAGCTCAGCACCAACATACACATGATTGTACGTATACCACAGACTGCACCAACAAGTACAACAGCTGTGACTGTACTAATCAGTGTACCACAACTTTGAACTCCATGTAACAACATGTATTACAGTCAGGAAAAAAACAGTTCTCTCGGACTATTTTCAGGTCTTAAATACACCGATGTGACAATTGATGAATGTACAAAAAAAAACACAATGTGTTGCTTCAGTGTCACCATGGCAACAGAAAGCCCATGCTACACACGGAGCGCTCCCACAGCGGCCAGCTGCCCTGCCCTGTGATGTATCCTCACTCCTGACTGCCTCTTCACACAGACACAGCGGGGGGGCTCAGCTTCAATATGGGTACCCATGGAAACCATCACCATGGTAACAAGATAACAAGCTAGTACCCTGAGGATAACTGAAGTTTGCCGCGGGACTGTGGCATGGTTGCAACAACAAACCGTGTTGCAGAAAATAAGCATTTTTTAAATGCTCACATTCAAACTTGATTTGAAACTCACATTGATAATATCATGATTTAAAATTTAGAGTTCAAAATTCACATTAATATACATTATTGTTTCTTATTTCACATTAATATGAAGATTACAACATGATTTGAAATTCACATTTTTTAATATCATTTGAAATTTACATTTATATTTTTTGTTCTTAAAAGAAAAAGCAATATAAAGTGAATTTCAAATGATGATGTTGGGCTATTGATATTGCTACTCTTTTTTGTATACCAAAGATGTTATCCATGTGATAGGTTTACACAATTCAGCCTGATCTGACTGCAATGTATTGTTTCCTTAAACCAACTTCACCAACCTGAAGTAGGCTGATGATAGATTGTTACTGAGGCCCCAGTGGTGCTTACAGAGGCATAGTTCAGCAGCAGGAGATAAATAAAACACACGGCGTCTGCCGTCTTCAATTATTCAGCAACAGCCAAGATTGCAGACCTATTTCAGACGTACATGTCATTAATTCAAGTCAGGGCAGCAAGAGGACACACCATTGCTACTTAAACTAAAGCCAGAACAAATTCGAAATTGTATCCATCATTTTTTTTTTCTATCTTTTAATCCTATATACAATGTAATTAGATGATATCATGATCATGGTCAAGAGATTGCTGTGACAGTTTCACTGAGTGCTGTTTTTGCTAGATATCAGATAGACAGACCCATACCTTCCCAGGTAGCCCAGACATTAACTAAGACGCTGTTTTCAAAGGGCAGCATTGGAAAAATACCAAGAGACAAAATCAGGAAAGCATAATTAATTGTTGAGTCAATAAAGAATCTATTTTACAACTTAAATTAATTAGTTTTCATTAGCATCCCTTTGATTACTTTTAAGGTAGAAAATCCTGCAAAAGCAACCACATAGGCACCCTGCAATGGGGAGACTAATGCAATTTGCACAATATACAAATCACATTTAGTAGCTTTAGACTTTTGGACTGAGGAAAAACAAATTTCTTCAAGGTCAAATGGCTTAATAGCCAAGGAAACACAATGGTGGTGGTTAAGCTAGTTAATGGAGAACAAACAGGGAAAGTCAACATGTCAGCATAACTGTCATGCCACAGTGTTCAGCACTACTGTAATTTAGTGTAAAGGTGTTTAATGTCTTGAAGGAAGGAAGGGAATGATATACATTAGATACAACCTACCAAGTCTGTTGATGGCTTAACCAATAATTATCAAGCAGTATAACAGATAAAGCTTCTTTACAACCGCAGCATGAAACTTTACAATGTTTGTATAGTGCAACATAAAACTTTGCACCAACTTTTAAACACTAAAGCATGTCACTTTTAAGCCCAACTTTCAAACTCCACATTATGAAACTTCACCAGAACATTTAACACCACAATACAGAACTCTATCCAACTTGTAAACACTGCAACACAAAACTTTATCTCCATTTTTAAACACGACAATATGAAACTTTACCCCAACTTCAGTGTACTGTAAATACAACTTTGTTGAAATGTTTTAGACCACAACATGAACATTTACTCCAAAACATTCCTACATAAAGCCTTACTCAAAGTTTCAGACAACAGAACATAAAACTTTATGTGCATAAGGGCAAGGACGTTAGGGTGTGTGTACAGAAAGAACGAGAAAAAGCTCAGACTTCAACTTTCAGTGACAGAATAAAGAAGCTCGGCTACGCAATACAGTATACTGTATACATACTTTTTTTTCCATTAAATTATCTCAGAGTAGAACTTTCGTCATGGTTGAAGCTTTTTTGTTAGATGGTCTTTCAATAAATCCACATGTAAGACTAGCATGGGTAGGTAAGACTTTCAGGTGTAGAAACCCATTTAAATCTGTTAGTTTAGAAATGGATTATTTGAAAAACATATATTAAGTGTTCAGCAATAATGTCACACTTTTACTACGTAGACATCCCGATAGTCTCTCCAAACAAAATTACCATTACCCTGCACGAAAGTGATGGTGACTGATGCTTGTTCGAATGTTTGCCTTGGCTGATTAGGCTTGCGGGCGGCTACGAGAGGTCAAAGATCAAACACTCCACCCAGCGAAGTGTGAATGGCTGGCAACAAAACAATCACCACTTCCCATCAGGTAACAGGGCAGGCAGGTTGTCAAGGCCGCTGGCCTGTGTGTGAGATAGACCTGTTATAGACTGGGCCGGAAAACCTTTTGTGGTGGATGCTCAGTAATTACCCCTGACGGAGGAGATAATGGTACATCCCTGGGGTCTGCTTGGGACTCACAAACACAGCTGCAGGGATTGTCCATTTTACAACCTGGGGGGACAGGTTTTGGGAGAAATTGTAGACACACCAGGGGAAGCGGGAGAGGATAGAGATCTATTGATTTGAGAACAGGTTGGTTTTACGAGGAATGCCTAAGGCATGTATAATAGTGAATCGTCCCTCCCAGACTCACTTGCCTGCTTGTAACAATCATACAACAATGACAGGATGACTGTAACCTTGAGGTCTTTTGTAGCTGTCATTTATTGATGTGTCACAGCTGGCTTCAACAGACATGATCAATAGACTCGACATACAGTCTGGCAAGTGATGAGTTTGGTAAGATAGATGATTTGGTCCTCACTATAGTCCTGACATAGTCCTCAAAGGTGTGAAGGTTAAAGTGTATTGTATTTCATCATTCTAGCTATATAGCCCCAGTGCATTTAAAGCTGACAGTGGGAAAATTAAATGATGCAACTGTAACTGATTATATCTTTGTCTGGTATCACAGTTTCTACCAATAATTGACTGCACCAGAGCAAGTTCACAGTACTACTAGTAACATAGCACAAATCAACTTTGAAGGTTTAGTTATTGACATAAAAGATGTATAGAGCTTGAAGGGCCATGAAAAGCTCTACAAACAGTAAGTATTTGAAGTAATAAAAAGTCAAGTTGTTTTCAGTGCTTCAAAATTTAACCGGTGAAAAAAAAATGACATGTCAAATGTAATTTCTTGAGTTAGTAATAGCAGTGTTGAGAGGAGGATATAAAAAACTAAACCAACATGGACCTGATGATATGGCAGGCTCATTTTTCTGCTGGGTACAATACCTGACAGGTGGTTTATTTATGTTAACAAGGGTTATTTGTGTCACGTCCTGCTATTGAGGTCACTGTTGACTGGGCGGGAGCACCAAGAGATTTTGCTTCATCCAAAGTACATGTACTTCAAAGCCAATTAGTCTAGCAAAATAGATAATGAAAGTAGCACAAAGTCTGTGGTTCAGTGTGTCAAGAGTTGAGTGTAAAGTCCTTACAAGGATAGTCTGAACTTTGTAGCCTTGGCAGGGTATATGGTGGCATGTGTTTGCATGGTCAACATGGTAAGACGTCACAACCAGCAACGATTGCCACCCATCCTGTGTTACTGCCTAAAGTCGGGTGAATCGCCGCCAAACAGGTTAACATTCCTCGGCAGAAACTTGAGTGTCCACGTTGGGTCAGCCGAATTTGGGTCTCGGAAATGAAGTCAAGCAAGCATGTCCTTTATCTGGACACCCCACACAAAAGGTGTCGAGGCTGATCTATATACATTCCCACAGTCACTGTGGAAGCAGGGGTGATTACAAAATCCACATTTCTTCTATTCATCCTGTACAAAACAAATTTTTAACAAAAACAAGTATCTGCAGTTTGAGAGAAAGCTGCTAGGTGGTCCCAAATTCAGTACGCTTTCCACAGCCTACTGACAAATAGAAAATCACCACTTGTTTGATCATCATAAGAAAGATGAAAGCAAGTAGGGTTTAAAGGAAATGTTAACTAGGAAGCCTCAAATCAAATCCTTACATTGAAGTCACTAAAAAATAGCTCCTCGAAAACCTATTCATAACTTTTAGGACTCAAACCAACAAATGAACCAAGGCTTTGAAAACATAGCCCGAGTGCTTTGTAGAGCTAATGACACAGGTTAAAAGGTACTACCAAACAGTCTTTCTGTATATACATGAGCTTATTTATGGCCAAATTGGTGCAATAACGACTGCCTCATACAATTTGTGTAAAGCACCTACTGTTTGCCTAGAAACATGTCCTTATCAATACATGTAGGTACAGCAACGTTGCAACGTTTAGCCGGTCTTCTAAAGAAAAAAAAAATCTCCAAATTTTATTTGGGGGTCACCGGTGGCCAATATTGACTCCCCTTGCCCCAGTGATATCTGCTTGGAGATCAGAGAAGAAACAACTTAGGATAGTGTTACACACTTATTGCCCTACATGTAACTAAGTGTTAATGATTAACACGTCTTCCTGTGAGCCATCAATTGCAATGGTATCTGTGCAATATTGTATCAGTTCTGACTTCTGAGAAGTCAGCTTTAATAGGAGGAGTTAAAAACTGGGTACCCTCGTAACCCTCCAGAAATATTTCAAATCTGTCTGCAAAATAATGAAGGTTACAGTAACTTCAACATAAAGAAGAACTTAAATGGACGAAGAACTTAAACATTCTGAAGAACTTAAATTGACCAACATCATTAAGGACTTCTTGTTCCTTTAAAACATCCACCAAAACCCTAAAATTCACAGGAAGGAGTACTGAATGGCTCATGATACCCTGTAGATTGAAAGTAGAGATGATATAAAATTTTGAATGCCAGTGCTGAAACATTTCTTTATCATGCAAATAATTTGGCTTCATGCAGGTTTGATGGGTAGATGGTAGTTAACTTCAGTGATCATTGTTCATTCTACTGTATGTAAATGCACATGAATGAAGTCATATTTTGTCATGGGCTATAGGCTTTTAGTAGGTGATGAAAGATTATTAATTTATTACTTTCAAGTGTAGCTTTACTATAAAGGAAAAAAAAGAGATACTGCTCTTTGCCATTTTCTTTCTAAGATTTTTTTTCTCAGAAATTTACATGAAGAATGTCAATGTAATACTAGTATCACACGAACGCCAACGCACACTTAACAATTGCCCCCCTCCCCACATAAATATTTGTGTCTATAGTATTGGAATGCGTGCATATCACGTATCATACCTTTTCACCAGCACTTGATAACCTCGACCACCTGCCAGAATTCAACGCTAGTAACCACTATCTGCAAAATCTACCGTCATTTGATGTACAGTGACATTCAAGTGGATATCTATATGTACAAACAGAAATATTTATGACATATGTAAGCTGTATCATTGATTATTTTTGGTACCCAGTCCTCTCTGTAATCATCGTGCTCCGGCCACAAAAATGTCTCCTGGGAAACCGAAACTTCTCCCATCGTCTGATCCGAACCAACCGCCAAATCCTCACGTCCCTGGCCGTCTAAAGACACCAACACACGCGCCCGGGATGTGCTTAATCCGCGTGTTTGTTGGGATAGGAAAGACCTGGAACCGTAACAGTGGCGGTTTTAGCTACCTGAGCTAGCTGGGGAGGGGGTGACCCCGCAAGGTGCAACATAACGGTACCCACCTGACGTAAACTCGCCGAGTTAAAGTCGTCTGACAGCCATGTTTTCTACGGTTTGCCCACTCCTCGCATTCCTAGAATGTTTCTGGTAACTCCCGCCTCGCCATATCTGATGAAAAATATACACCGAAGACGCTAGAAGCGCCAAACAATGGGAGTTGTTTTGCAGAAGGTAAAACTAGAACCGCTTCTGTCCTCCCCGGTCAATAGTGCAGCCAGCCGTGACGTAAGGACAAACAAACCCGCTGATTGGTTAATCCTCGGGCGGGACAACCACCTGTTGACGCGGGACGTCCTACGCAAAACAGCGACCTCTAGTGACGAGATCGAAAAATGCAACAGATCAACGAAGACCCACGAAATCATTACATTAGAGCTGATGAGCAGATAAGATAGACATTTATCAAGGCTTTTGTTGCAAAAGAGAATGCTGATAGATTTCTTCAAGTACAACGTGAACAGGAGCTCGAGATTAGACCCTAGAGACTCCCTCAACTCATTTGAAAAGAAAGTATGGGGACGTTCAACAGTGGCTGTGCCCTTGGGAAAGTTACTTTACATGGCTATCTCACTTCACTCAGGTGAAAATGAGTACCACGCACGTTAAAGACCGATACCACACCTTTCGAAAAAGAGTAGAGGCGTGCCACAATGGTCCAAATACTACTATCTTGAAGTTGGTGATTCAGAAATAAGCCCTGGCGAACCCTCGTCTCGTGCTATTAGCCACATGTGTACGGGGGTTTACATCTTGATGACTGACTATATGAAGAGTAGTGTGCAGTATTCATGTAGCACTAATGGAGATTCTAATAAGACAAACAGCCATACAAACTGTTGAGAACTGTTGAAAACGTATATCGCCTCTTGGGTGGGCCAAGGCTACTGCCCTCATGATAGACAACCCAAGGCCTGGCACCAGGATATACCGACAAACTGGCGTGGTAACTAGCCGCCAGAATCAATGGACAAGAATTGAATCAATATTATAATCGATGCCAGTGTTATGATACAGTCCCCGTGTTTACATTAATCATTTCAGATCCGCATAACGTTAGCTCCAACAAGAAGACACCCACGAATATTTTAACTAGAATTATCTGGAAAGGAAAGTTAAATAAAGTCATCTCGATCCAGTTTTAGCTCACTGCTAAAAGCTACTCTCCCACTCGTCGTGACAGAGAAGTTTCGAAGACATACACTATGTACAGTATTTACAGGTTCATTGTACCGGGAAAATTCCCCCAGCTCATTTCTACGAGCACAAAGAACGGTGGACGACAGCTAAACGTCCAGTCCTAGGGACTGCGACCCTTTGCAGTAGCGTGTATGGCATGCCAGGTGAGCGACAACAGCCGGGATTCGAACCCCCAACCTCTTGGTCCAGAGGCAGGGCCGCTAATCACTGGACTACGCTCGCTACTATACAGACTCCGGTGTAATCTAGCATCGGTCAAACATTTAATCTTATAATATACATATGCATGTATTTCAACCACGTTTTTGCTGATAGAACTTTACTTTTAATTTTGTGATGTGTAATGTTCGGCGCGCGGCAGAAGCTATAGATGGACACGTTTCCCTAAACAACAGGCGGACTTGTAAACACGCAGACTGACCAGAAAGTTGTGAAAACATTTATAATGAAAATATTGACACATTGTACCGAAGGACTTTTAAACAAAAAGACCTGTTTTGAAACGTTTTGAAAACAGGAATAATGTAGACAGTGCAACACAACCAAGGACAGACCTGTCTTCTTGGTTCGATCTGGCCGGTGTGTGATAGAAATATATAAAAGCTTCAAGGACACAGATATCATTTGTAGTGAAGCATACCTCACACTATAATCCACTGAAATTCTATACTTTTCATTCCTACACGCATTTGGTCATACCGATACAAAGAACAAGGTATTTTGCGAAACATCAGATTCTGAACAGATCAAAATCAATTTCTGTCTGAGTTCGTTGCCCTAACACCATCTGAATTGTCTAAAACTAAAAAATAAGATTCACGGTGGTCGAAACGAACGACCGTTTAATACAGTCACAGTGAAGTAATCATGTTTATGACGAATTGATTCTTAACTATGGTGTGTGCAAGTCTCTCTCGCCATGGGTCATGTAAACACGAAATGTGCCAGTTTGAACGAATACCACGATTGAAAAGACTGGCATACGCATTTTGTACTTATTGAAGTTGGAATTTTAAGTAATAATTACTTTTCAACTTGACTACGTAACCGTATGTATCTTTCGCTGCCAAGAGACCATCTAAAATTAAGAATAAAAAGATATTTTTTCGTTTTGTTTCAACAATTCATGAGAATCTCAAATCGACCTACAGGCCACCTTATCACGCGACCCTGCTCCAGAACAAAGCTCTTAGGCAATTAATTATCAATTACAATGTTAATTGCTTGTATTAATTACAAGTATTCTTATTATGTATTTCAATAACGCATACTCTAATTATTCAGTGTTTTGTAATTGTATAGCTGCTTTCTGAGATGTTTATGTCTCTTCTTGTGAATGTGTTAAATAAATGCTGTGTAAGTTAGCTATAATTCTTTATAAAGATATTTAGAATTCTTCTGATTGTCTGACACATGCTAATAAAGTTCTTTTGACATGACTATCATGATTGAGTTGGGTAGCGGAGTCTGCCTGGGAGAATGCGGCTCCTGTTAGATCCAAGTCTCCTTCCATGCGGACATTGAACCAGCTTCAGTCCGCCACGCCTACAGCTCCACGCTGGCACCATCTCGTGATACCAAGCTACATAAATAATTAATTAGACTTGTTATGATGTCATCCCATAACATCAAAATTATGGGATAGCATCAAAATGCACCAATCACAGACCGGGTAAGATGTACGTAGCTGGCCGTTAAAGAGCCCAGCCCCGGACCCCGCTCCCCCAGACTTCTCCTGTACCTACCGAACACCCAAGTCCGGAACCCGTCGGTCGACTGTGGTGTTGGTGGAAGATCTGAAAACTTTGTGGGCATCTGGCCAGGGACAACACGTCAGTTGCCCCGAAGACTACGACGATTGTTCTGGTAAGCGCGTTCCTTTTACAATTTCACCGCCGTCTTGTGAAGTAAAACTTTGACTTGTTGAGATCTGCTCAAATCTTGAGAATCGCCTCGAATTTTTTGCCAACGATGTTTAATGTTTCTGGCACACATTTTTGATTTTACAATAAAAATAGAACGCATTGTTGAGTAGAACATATAGTGGTATCGGAAAATCACGGGGAAGTTACAAACACAAATAGCTGCCTAGCTGCGGTCAACCGACTATGTCAACTCCTGAACAACACGAAACTTGAAAACTCACTCTGTAAAAAAGCTGCTGCTTTGTTCACAAGAACGCGACAGCGGCCGTTTACCTTACCATTAAAACAAGGCAAAACACTGCTGTCGCTAACCTATGGCCACCCTGATTTAATTTTACGGTTTTAGTAATTTTATGGATGGCGGTAACTACGGAGGATGGCACCCACGCTGCCGAAGCTCCACCGAACTCAACAACTCAGTACAGTGCAGACTCAGAAATGCTGCAAAAAGGCCAGCATGTACCGGCTTGTAACATGTACATGTCGTAAAAGTCGCTATGTACTACCGCAAATTCACAATACCAGCTTTGTATTCCTGTAGTTTAGCAGCATTTTTTGCTGGAATTTTACATATTCACCTGCGCACACTAGTTTTGGGTCTTCAGAGGATGCCATCCATAAAACGAAGTCACTGTGTTCTAACTGACCATAGACGCCCTGGCAATCACACTACCACTTTTCGTACACTGTAAGTTAAGAACTGGGAAGCCTATGTGAACTAACCAGGGCGATCCTAGCTGCGCATGCAGCAAACGGTCTAAGCTGCCCTATCCTTATGAAAAGCTACTCATCCGCTGTCAATCTACACGAAAAATCATGGTGCATAGTCTAAATTGAAAGCAAGGGCTGGACAGCATTTAACATACATTGACTCGACAAAAGTACAGCAACTTTCGTATGGTCTACCACAACTAAGGTCGAACAAAGCTAAATGCATGTATGTATAAAGTCATCCTACTTACAGAATATATGTGTGTGTGCGGCAAACGACGTACAGAATGTCAGTGGTAACATTAGATGTTTAACTATTTTTTCACTAACTAACCGCTGTCCAATCATTAGATATCATCAGCCGCCTAGTGTTCTTTGACCAAAATAACGCTTGGCTAAAATGCTGCAATCGCCTCTTCAGCAACTGAACAGCCGTTGACACTGACCACAAAAAAGAAGCGCCTGTAAAATGCTGCACCCGTCCTACCTCTATTAGGTGTCCAGCAACCGACGCTGACCATCAGAACCCCGGAAAAGACGTGCCCCTTCCTTTATCAAGAGCGAGCCTCCCAGTGACTAAAACTGACCATTTCAGCGGAAATGCTGGAAATTCTTACAGTTACAGGCGTTGAGAGCTTGCAGTTACTATTATTAGCTGTTGATCCTAAGAGCGTCCCGGGAATTTGCCGTTTTTTCCTTGTCGAACTGACCAAACATGCATCCCCCTCCTGGCCAGTCGCTTTTAACTGACCACCAGACGACTGGGCGTTTGTCATCAAGATGACTGCAGTATAAAACTACTTTGGCTGAATACTAGAACTGTTGTCGGAAGAGAGGCACGCACGGCCACTCGGGTAGATTTGCGCAGAAATCCTTAATTGCAACGTTAGTTTTATGTGCATTGCAATTCTACTGCTTAATGAGCGCTATGGTAGAAATTGACTCCTTCTGGCAATTGGGGTCAGCTGCAGAGGGGCGACAGAATCTTACCGCAGAATACGCTGCCATCATACCCATGTATCTGTAAGCTTAATTTCTAAAAATAACAAGCATTGGTTTGATCCCCATGCAATTCTGGTGAATACCAGGGCTTGGGATAATACAGATGATTTGGGTATTTCAAGAGGTGTGATATAAACGTTTATAATTTGAATGAACGATTTGTAGTATGTTACAGCATAATCGGTCCAATATGAATTCTAGTTACCATTTGATTAAATGTGTTGATCAAACAATCATTTATTCATATTGATGAATGTGAAAATCCTGTTATTGATTTTTACAGTTTATACATTGGTGATTATGATGCATAACGTTCTGTTTTCAGTGTCTGTCTGATCGATAGAACCTAAACATGTGGCAAGGATTTCTCTTGTGTTTGTGCTGCATAATTGCGGGGGCAGCAGCCGGTGAGTTTGATTCTTAGTCCTTGAACAAAACTTTTTTTTTTGCTCACTGAGATATTGTTCAGAATACTAGTAGTACATCTAAGCACTATGTGAGACCTGGTGGCAATGCGGCAGTCACATCGGGTGGAATAGATTGGTTATTTTTATATTCACATGGATTTATGAGCATTGGATGGCAAGGACTTACGAGCTTATAAGATCCTTTGCTCAAGAACATAAAACATACATAATACAGGTTGAAGTAACAGATAAAAGATGAATAACGAACATAAAATGAAAGTGCATGGCGCACCAATAGACGTAAGATGAATGGCGTTAATCTTCCAGACTGAGAAATGAGATTGGTGACTCTTCTCTTCCGTGAACAGTTTCATCAGGTTGGTACCGTAAGTCACTGAGTAAAGAGACAACCAAGTCTTTTATTTAGCCGACGTTTCGGTGACCGTCTGTCACCTTCCTCAGGGCAATTCTGACTGGTTCACATTGCACTGCAGCAGAGGTGTCGCTGCTATAGATACATCCCAAATGTACAATATTTACATATCTACGTATATATATATATCTGTATCTACTGGTTACTCATCTCGTTTCAGCGCCCAGCAAACATTCCCGCTCAAAGAGGGCGGTTCCCGCCATGGTGGCAGACGCAGCCAAGGACGTGGCGGGGAAGGTTCTGTGAAAATGTTCTTTGCATTTAGTAACATCCTTTGTTAAACTGCATTAGTTTCCTTTGCATTATATTTGTATTCATTAACTCATTTTCAATTACTACATTAGTTATGATATAAATTCATATGTATTAGTTTTCATTATATTTTTCCGTTAATTAAGAGGAAGGCCTTGAACAAGCCCTGAAGGCTTTATTTATTTTATTCACATTTATTTTTCTTGAGGATTGGGCAAAAAGTTATAAAACTTATCTCAGCCCTCTCCTCACACATAAAAGGAAACAATAAAACAAAGTAATGATAATAAGAAGAAGTGACAAAGGTACATAATGAGCTGGTGTACAAATCAAAATCAATCAACTAAATCAAACAAAACGTCCTGTCTGCAAAATAAAGTTGAAAACCACTGAACCCTGAAGGCTTTCTGCTCCCTTCTGCACATTTTTATTTCACGTGAATTGTTAAACTTGTCAATTTATCTTACTTACTGTGCGAATGAAATAAATACAAGCAGCACGCCTGGAAAAAACGTAAACTCCACATTTATTCATAACAGGTTAATCTTGTTTCGTCTTACTGTCATTTTCAGTTTGGTTCTCCTCTTTCCTTGCTACGTTTACCTGTTCACTTTTCTGTTAAGTTGGTTCTCTGTATGTAACAGTCAAGTGACAGTTACCTCTTCTTACTTTTATGCATTATCAATTTTGGTTGAACCCAAATTATTATTATTTATCATCTATGTTACATTTGATTTGATTTCTGTATATGACCAGAACTACTTAATTTCCTGTATTTATTTACTGATATATTATGTTAAGTTATAATTTATGTTGTATCTGACTCTGTACCTTTTGAGTTCTTATGATTTTGTAATTGTCGGTGTCTTATAAGCCCATATGGGCTGGGCGACATATGGTCGCAATGACACGAAAATAAACACTCATTCATCCATTCATTCATTCATACAAAAGGTTGTGGACCGGCTGGGTGACAGGATCGCGGAGGGAGTGGTGGAGAACCACCAGGCGAAGGTGGTGGGTTCCCTGGAGGAATACTTCTCGGGACAGTTCGACCAGGCCGATCAGGCGTTCGATGACGTCTTGGCTCGCAGCGGAAACCTCCTGGCAGGTGTTCAAGGAGTCGAGGAGGTCAGAATTTCAGTGTCTTTTTCTTTAAGTTGCAAAACTTTTAACCGGCGCAATGGCTAAATGGGTGAGCGCTCGTCTTGAATTTGGTAGGTCGTGAGTTCGATCCCCGACCGAGTCATACCAAAGACTTTAAAAATGGTACATCCTGCTTTCTCTGCTTAGCACTCAGCATTTGGGAAAGAGTGTGGGAGTGAAACACACACCACTACCAGTGGACTAGCCCCCCGCTGTAGAGATTGCACAATTTTGTGGCCCAAGGGCTACTGAACTGGAGATGGGCGCCGCCCTAAGCACCGCGTAGTGAGGGAGGGACTTTAACTTTTAATTTTAACTTAAAACTTTGTATATCTGCTGATATATGCTGCATATCCCTAACTCTGCTCCAGTAGGGCTTAGATATACCACGTCACTTGTCGAGTGACAAAGCATCATGCGTCACGTCACGTCACATAGGACAAGGAATCATCTTGAAAAGTTTGGATTAGGATCGTGTCCCAATTCATTCTATTGTCCAGCTGAGGTTACATTATTCGATTATTGTATCGTACACCGCGCTATTGGGTCCCTATAGCTACTACGTCTGTGTATGCTGTCTTCCGGTTGCCAAAAAACAGTTTTTAAATACTCAAGCAACTGGATATGGTTTTGGAAATGGTCAGACGTTTCAGGTAGCATCCACTTACTTTCGTCAGTGACACTGGAGACTTGTCAGAAAGGCAGGCTTATAAGCAGCAGGATATTGATTGATATGATTATTACATGGATGTCTAACCTTCACCCTGTTGCTGTGATCCTGTACAGGCCAGGCTGATGCTGACACACGGCAGAGGGACCAACACAGGCGACACCTTCGCACCCGCCAGTCAGGAGATGACCCTATCCTTCGATCACGTGGACGAGTGAGTACTGATAATATCTCAGGCTATTTGCAAGAATTTGATAGAAGCTCAGAATTGTCTATTATACACACATCACATCATTCATTCCTGGATCCACCGAGTCTAAAAATTGATCAAGGACCAGACTACGTACTGCACTAGTGCCTCAAAAAAGTTCCAAAGTTCAGGATTCAATGAACAATGTACAACAGCGAAGCAGTTGGCTCCTTTAGAACAAAGATGTTAAACATAATGCCTCTGCCCGTGAATAGTTCATCAGGTTGGTAAGTCACTGAGTAAACAGACTCTTTTTACACAACCAAGTCTTTTATTCAGCCGATGTTTCAGCCGATTGTAGATACAGTTCCCTGTAGCCACGCATAAATATTGTACGTTTGGGAATGCATCTATAGCAGCGACACCCGTGCTGCAGTGCCACTCAGAATTGCCCTGAGGAAGATGATATGACAGACGGCCAAAGAAACGTCGGCTAAATAAAAGACTTGGTTGTGTAAAAAGAGTCTCTTTACATAACGTCTCTGGCATTTCTCAGTGACGATGAGGAACAGGACAGCTCAGAATCGGGTACTGCTCCCCACGCCTACCCAGGGGGCATCGGGACGGTGATGATGAACGGCTGCTTCAACTCCGGCTATCAGGAGGGAGACCCCTGCTACGAGGCGCACGTGCCCATAGAAGCCTGTGCCGTGAGTCATATATATATATTTATATTGAGGCATAAATAATTCACTTTATGTTCACGGTAGCAAAAGTTTACGGTTGGAGAAAAATGGACATGTTCGCGGAACTATATGTTCACGGTGGCGACAGGTGCAGTTTCCAAAATCATATCCAGTTGCTTGAGTCCTTGAGTAACTGCTTTTTGGCGTATTGTATTCACACTACATTTAGAACATCATCGACGGAGCAACCTTCCTTGGCGTTGGCTATGACGGACGAGGAGACTACTCGACTGACTCTAGGAAGAAGAGCCTCGTCCAGCGATCCTGCAACGGTCTGCAAGGGTAAGAGTGTCGATCTTTTTTTTATTCCAACATTTCATGACTATACACTCAAGTTTTCCCAACTCATTTTATGCCACCACAAACGCAGAGGACAAATGCAAATACGCTCGACAGCTCATCTTGAAGGCATGACTGTTTTTTGTTCTTTTCTGGGCTGGTATCAGATACTTAGTGGTTGGTACGTCCACCATTTCTGTTCCTTTTATTGATGGCTCGACACAGTTCGTGACAAATGTGACACCTCGTGAAATCTATTTGCAGATACAAGGAGTTCCATGTTCCTGACCAGATGACCGTGCAGGGAATCTACGACACCGACGTGGGAACCTACACCTTCAGCACCGGGCCTATCTGGGACTTGGTTGATAACTCTGATACGTGAAGGCATGACTGTTTCTTGTTTGTTGTACCTGCAGGTATAAGGAGTTCCATGTTCCTGACCAGATGACCGTGCAGGGCATCTACGACACCGACGTGGAGACCTACACCTTCAGCACCGGGCCTATCTGGGACTTGGTTGATAACTCTGATACGTGAAGGCATGACTGTTTCTTGTTTGTTGTACCTGCAGGTATAAGGAGTTCCATGTTCCTGACCAGATGACCGTGCAGGGCATCTACGACACCGACGTGGAGACCTACACCTTCAGCGCCATGGAGGAGTACCGATCTTACCTGGAGGACAAGTCCTCCGTGACGTCTGCCAAGGCCATGTTTCAGCAGGAGATGAACAAGGCTCAGGGAACCGGGGCGGGTGAGAGAATCTGCTTTACTTGATCTCACTCATAAAATACAATATCACAGGCCAAGGGCTGAATTGTAGCGTACTCTGCAATACAATAGTAACAACGTATCATAGTGTCTACATACATACGTACAAAAATGATTCCCGTGACACTGGCTTCTATGTTCACATTGCGTTCCGGAGCTGTACATAGTATGGTGCTGTGGTGTATGGCAGCTATACACGGTATGGTATGGCAATGTGGTTTTCATAAAACGAGAACATAAACCGCCTGAGGTTGTGTGGGTTTGTGATCCAGGCGGAGGCGCCTTCGGGCTGCTCTTTTCTGTCGGGGGCGGTTCATCGTCGGCCAGCGGCAGCGACAGCCAGACGTCTGGGTTCACAGGCACCTCGCTGGCTAGCGCCGAACTAAGTGAAGGTGAATCAAAAACCTTCATGTCCATGCTGGAACTGAACGTCTTCAGGTGAGTCCTACTGTTTTTTTTATGTTTACCTTCGCAGAAGGAAAACATTGTTTTTGCTCTGTTTCTTCTTCCTCTCCTTCTTCTCCAAACAAATAAGGTCAATGACCTGAACCAGACGTCTGTCACCATGGTAACTAGTGTTAGGTTACACATTATGTTGCAATTTCATAGCGGGAGGGATTTGGTCTCCTGTCACCATATATATAAATGTGCTTGAGTAAGACTTAACAGAGCAGACCACATGCGGAGGTAAACATTATGCATTTGCTTTGCAAATGATACCTTTCTGGTTAGCCGCGGCGACTGTTGCAGGGCTTCTCTTGCTTGCAGTCTTTACGTTAGCCCTAACAACAGGGCCGTATGTTGTTAGGGCTAATGTAAAAGACTGCAAGCAAGAGAAGCCCTGCAACAGTCGCAGCGGCTACTTTCTAATCTAGAACTTACATTTGCTACGTGGTTGCTTCATCATCATTGCCATCATCACGGAACAGTAATTAAACCGGTCTCCAATTACAAAATGGGGAATTTTCAACTTAATCACTCATCAGTCTTTCGCAGGTATCTGACACATCCGCTCAGGTTGTTGGAAGTCGATATCGGCCCCCGTTCCGGTCGAGGGAAGTAGGGTTTACCCTGCATGTAATTTACCAGTTCTGATAAGCCCCATCATAGTATCATTACATTTTGATTACAACTTTTGATCATTTTTATTCTATAAGGTATGAGATTTTCCTGGACTTCGTGAAACCTGAAGATTTGAACTTGGCTGCTCTGCGCGATTTCCTGAAACTCCCGAAGTCCTACTTCAACATTGGGGCTGATCGGATGTACAGTAAGTGATATTCATTTTATCTTTATAACGGTTCCTGATGGTTTCTCATTTAGTGTCAAACTTTCCTCAGTTTAGGGAGTTCTAGCGAGAGTACATTCAGCGAGCCCCGGTGGCCCTCAGTCGCGTGTTCAATGTGTTTTTACTGAGTGTGACCCGGCGTTGCTTTTTCGAACAATATCGGTTTGTGGTACGTCGGAATGAACGTTGCTTCCGTTTGACTTAATACAGCCGGCGCTACACAGCCAACGACCTTCTGGCGAACTTGTTTATTGCATACTTGAAAATCGATTGGGAGTTGAGTGCATTTTTTTTTTACAAAAGTCTACCCTATCAAACTGGACGGGGTTCGGTGAGATAACATTGGCCAACCGCGCAATGACTGAGACACGGGCCGAAATTTTTTTTTACCTTTCGCAGACTCGTTAGGAGATCTATTTTCCTGCAATGTAACGCTGGATTTGTCTTGTCAGATAACTACATCCTGCGCTGGGGAACACACTACATCACCTCTGCCATGTTTGGAGGACAGCTCAAGATCATCAAGACCAAGCAGGTAACTGACGACACCTCGATTGAGAGCTTCGCCATGGCCGCCCAGACGGAGTACAAGAAAATGCTCAGCACCTACTCCGCTAAGGAGACGATGACGAAGTCCAGTAGCTGGTTTCACGAGCATGAAACCAAAAATGAGCAAGAAAGTTCGTCAGGATCGGCAACTGCAGATACCACAGCTGAAACATCCGTCGGTGAAACGGCTCGCCGGTTAGTGTTTTTTTTTTTCAGTGGTAGCTTCACACTTTATGGAATGCATGTTACTGCAACCATCAACAATGGCAAGTGACACCAAGCCTGTATGAGCCTGCCTTTTTAGCTCTAGTATGCTTTCTCGGCTGCTTCCCTGCAAAAGAAAGACTAGACTGGCACATATTCTGTCATTTGAATAATTGTTCAGAATTTAGACGGGCGGTGATGGCCAAACCACACCATTGGGACATCCATTAAGCAAAGGCCCAGTTGAATAACTATTAGCTCATTGTATGAGTCCAGTCAATTTGGCAGTTAATCGACCTAAATCTAAAATGTGGACATTCAAGCTATGTCAGACCACATGCAACTTCTGTTGGGAGCGTATAATTCATTTTTTCATGCTTGCTTCAACATTTATGTTCACCGAAGTTTCCAAACACTGATCTCTAACCTGGTCAATGACCTGAAGCAGACCGTCTCTCACCATGGTGTTGGGTTACATCATGTTGCAATTTTATAGTAGGAGGGATTTAGACTCTTGTCATGAATGTGTTTGAGTAGTAAGAATTAACATAGCAGACCACATGCGAAGGTAAACACTATGTAGTTGCTTTGCAAATGTTACCTTTCTAGTATAGGTATTACGTTTCTGCAGGAACAAGATGGAGTTCAGCAGCGAACAGATGCGCGTGCAGGGCGGCGACCAGAAGATCGCGGGCGCCATCACGGACCTCTACACAACCTCCTTCGCAAACGACCTGGTCGACTGGCTAGACTCCATCGAGGAGTTCCCTAAAGCTTTCGAGTTCACCATGAAGCCCATCGCCGATCTGTTCGACATGAATTTCGACCTACTCTTCCCCAACGGAGTGACGGACCTGGGCTGCTTCGGAAGGTGTGTGTGTGTGTGTGTGTGTGCGTGCGTGCGTGTGCATGTGTGTGTGTGTGTGTGTGTGTGTGTGTGCATGTGTGTGTGTGTGTGTGTGTGTGTGTGTGTGTGTGTGTGTGTGTGTGTGTGTGTGTGTGTGTGTGTGTGTGTGTGTGTGTGTGTGTGTGTGTGTGTGTGTGTGTGTGTGTGTGTGTGTGTGTGTGTGTGTGTGTGTGTGTGTGTGTGTGCATTCGGTAGGTCGTGAGTTCAATCCCCGGCCGAGTCAAGAGTGGATCATAAATACTTATCTCAATTCAGTCCGGATATGTTGTGTTCCCCTGTTTAAACATCACAATCCTTGTTATTCACAGAACTACACTCCGCGAAGATTCGCACGGGAGGAATTACTACACCCAGGCGGTACAAGTTGGAAACGGCTCCACAATCGAGGAAGTTCGCTACTGTGACTTCAGCTCTCAGGACGACATGAGGGAGGGCTTGATCAATCGGCGGTTGGCTCTTAACCGCGCAGTAGCCGTGTATCTGGAGGAGGTACGTTTTGATTCAACCGTTTATACGTTAACGAGTTTAGTACACTGTTGTTGATGCTAGAAGGTACTGTTGATGAGACATGGGCAGAGAAGGAGAAAGCTGCTCCTCATTTTACAGCCAGCCTATGTTTGTCCTGTGCTTAACAGAATGTCCTCATCCATGCACCCCAATCTTCTCTTCTTTTTTTGTTCCAACATGTAATCACAAGACGTTGTGACGGTACGAAAGACTCATATTAATGCCGCTACCAACACAGGGGACAATACAATACTCATTTCACCTGAGCGAAGTGAGGAAAGTCGTACTAAGTGCCTTTCCCCAGGGCAGGACTCGAACCCGGGACCTCTTGGTTCCGAGTCGAGCACTCTGCCGCCAGACGACCCCACATAATCTTCTCTTCTGAACGTTACCAAACGTATCCATGTTTTTGCAGGGGAAATTCACCGCGAAGGACTTCTCCATTCCTGCTGGAGAGCCCGGATGTGAGACCGCTGAGCTGGTGCTTCTGGAGGGTTTGTTTGTTTGTTTGTTTATTAGCATACAATCAAAGTAATGAAATAAACATAACAAAACAAAAAAAGATATGCGATGCGGGGGTAAGATAAAAAGCCGTTATGGCCTATGTATGGCACATTATTAGAACAGTAATTGATCAAATAATACTAATGGTATTCAACAACATACAACAATTATTATGATTAGTTAAAAACAATTAATTATTGAGTAAAGCTAATTGATATTGGTATCCCTAAACCTTAAATGAACTATAAAGGTTTATTATTTATTTATTAAAACTTTAAGTACAAACTTTATTCAAGTACAAACATGAGCAAACGGATATGAGGGCAATATGTCAATAAAGTTCTTACTTATAACAAAGATGCAGACTTATAACATAAAATGATAAGAGTACAACGAGACAATGGGATTTTATAAGAATTAATAAAATGTCAAATTTTAGGTTCTAACG